AATTCCTCACCAGAACACCAAGTTTTCTGCACTTCCTGAAAAACTTTTACACTAATTGGATTCTCTGTGCCTAAATGCTATGCAATGATGCATGGGAAGCCAGAAGCAAGTTTACCTCCATTTCTATTTCGTTCTGTGCTTCCATGAGTTTCCAGCCTAACTGCAGTGGAGTGAGAGTTGATTTCCCACTTTCTCTCTCCGCTTTCGACTGGTTCGCAGCATCCTCCATAGCCTGCAGTGGCGTAATTGTAACAACGCATTTCCCTCAGTTTGAAGCGCTACAGATCAATTCCTTTGCACGAGATACAAACTACTCACCAAACTCTCATCGGTATTCTGTCTGTGCTGTGGTTGAGCACCTTGTGTAGTAGACATGATCTGAATAGTCATATAAACAACGTTAGATTATGACAACTTGCTATGAAAGACACTTGAGATTCATGTAACAAAGTATTAAGCATAAGAATAAGCAAAAACTTGAAATTAAGAGAACCAATGATAGGCTCTGATGAAAGCCATGATCTATTTACAAAACCAAGAGCACTTTATTCTTCCGTGTTATTTTTTTCTGTGTCACTCAGAGAGCACCAGAGAATACTGTTGTTTTTATGCTACCTTGATTCAGCTGATGCTGTGTAGCATTGGCAGGATAATAGACTTCTCTTATTCTTTTAATTCATATCTCTCTTGCGCAGCTGACGCTGCTCGCTGAATGCATGACCAATAAGTACAACGTATATGTAGCTTCAAATTTGGGTTATTAAACCATAAGAGGTAATAGCTGTGCGCACCAGAACAGCTGGTGTGATCATGCGTTTTGTGCAATCCCGCTCACCGAATGATTGCCTGCTAATGATTTTCACTGCTTTTCACTTTGGCCTGTGAAAAAATAGTTGAAATGTAGACTGCTTCCTAAGTTGCGGAATTTCCCACTAAAAATTCCGCGCATCGGTACCTAAAAGCTGAATTTGAAACCTCGAAGGGTGAATACCCTTCCAGAATTTCAGTCTTCTAATTCTTTGGTTTTCAAGTGATTTTTGTGGCGTGACTTTACTTGTTCGTATGTGAGAGCTCGGCACACTTAGGAACTAAGTTCGAGTCTGTGAAGCCTTTGCTTAGGCAGAAAACATCCCCTGGAATTTTCAGCCTACTAACTGTTCTGGCCCCCGAGTTAAAGATTTTTCCCGTCAAAACCTCCACGGAGACGTTGGAAATTTGCGGAGTCGTTTGTGGGCAGGGAATGCCAATCTAAAATTTCAGATTCCCAACTTCCTCAGTTCTCGAGGTAATAATTTTCACCATCGAAACTTTACGGGGCCGTAAACGATACTCGGGCGTGCGGGGAGGCTGGATTTAAATTTGCGGGATTGTATCTGGGCGGGGGCATTACTGTAAAATTTCGGTTTCCTGGCTTTTATGGTTCTTGAGATAATAATTTATCCATCGAAAATTTCACTGGACCGCAGGTGATACCCGAGAGCGTGGGAACGCTGGATTTCAACTTGCGAGGTCGTACGTGGCTTGGAAACATATCCGTAAAATTTCAGCTTCCTAAGTTCCGTGGTTCTCGACATAACAATTTACCTGCCAAAAGTTACATCGGACCGTAAATGTTACCCGCAGGTACAGGAAGGTTGAATTTCCTAGGATGCACGTTGGCAGGGGGCGTGCCCTTAAGTTCAGCTTCCTAGCTTCCGTTTTTCCGAGATGGTGATTTTTCCCGCCAGAAAAGGGGGGGGGGGGACTGATTTTAAATTTACGGAGTCACACGTGGGTGGGAAACACTCCTCTAAATTTTCAGCTTCCTAGCTTTTGTGGTTCCCGAGTTGATAGCCGCGGACAAGTTGCTGCGGGCACACACGCGCAGGACAACTCCGTGACGATATGTGTTTTGTGCCACACAGCACAAAACGCATAAATGCAACAATACCTACAAACTACATTCGCTGAGGTAATCCTCCTCCTCCCCTCTCTTCTCTCCGCCCCTCCCCGCCCCCATCTGAAACCTACCCGCTCCTTATTATAAAAATATTCTGCACCGAGGGCATTGAAGAATAGGGAATTGGGAGGAGGGAGTCTGGGTGCGAAGGAAAGGCGGGGGAGAACAAAAAGAGCAAAAAGGCAGGGCAGCGGAATTGCCCCACTGCCAGAGAACCATAGTGGGAACCATCGTGCGGCTCCCTAGAATCAAGTCTGTAATGACTATACGCCACGTAGGAGCACGTGTCGCGGCGGAAGGGCGTTGCCGGCTACGCCGCGCTTATTGACCCTCCTTAAAGGAGGGATCCAATTTGCTTATAACTTTTTTTGGGGTGGGATGGGGCCGTCGAAGTAGTGGGGACAAAGAGAAATTAGATTATTGGACGGAGAACTGGGTTTTAAGGCTAGGGTCACAGGTGATAGGCGAGGAGGGTGAGGGGAGACTTTTACAATACCTTGGCCTGAGAACCTAAACTTCACCTTCTCTCCCTACCGGCTGTTACTTGAACGGTGATGAAGCGCTTTTTGGATGGATTCGAATTGCTTACTTTAGCCACGAGCCGCGACGTCCAAAATCCTAATTATTAATTTCATTGAAATGTCCAAGTACTATATTTACAGTCGTTCGTTACTTAGATTTTCGAGACCAGAATACACTCAATTTTCTTTACTTGGAACAAGTTTGGTTGTGTACTCGGATCAGCGGCGATTACTTGGTCAGTTGAAGGGACAATACCTGGATTTTGAATTTTTTTAATAGTCTCTATTTCCATCTATGCAGCCAGTAACTTTTCCACCGACTGCGATCTCCCGCTTTAGAGTTAATGGATCGGTCTATCGTTCTTTTTAACACATAGTAGATTCCATTCGACCATTCGTTTCGTCCGTGTAATGTCTTTAGACAGTGCAGCGTAACTGTCATCCCAGTTCTTATATGTCTTATGCTGCAGTAGTTGCAAAAAGCTTATATTGTCGAGACCCTATCTGTGTGTGTATGTTTGTGTGCGCGTGTTCCGAGTGCATTTTATTCGGAGTTTTCAGCTCAGGAACCAGAGAAGTTGGAATTTTAGAGGGAATCACTTACCTGCATGTAATCTCGCAAACTAAAATTCAACGCGTGCGTACGCTTAAGTCCCAAGTACGGTCATGTGAAAATTTTGGCGTGTAAATTAACTTGGGGGAGCAAGAAGACTGGGAAGCTGAAATTTTAAGAGAATATTCTTTGCTCACGTTTGGTTCCGCAAACTCAAATTCAACCGCCGCACATACCTAGGTCTTACGTAGGGACAGGTGAAATTTTCGATGCGAAAATTAATTCAAATTTAGAAAACTGAAATTTAGAAGAATGCTTTCTGCCCGCTTGTAAATTCATTTCCCGTACGCGCCTAAATCGCATGCGTACGAACAAATGAAAGTTTTGGCGTCAGAAATTTCTGTACGTATCAGTCAGTGATGCAGTGAACAGTTTTAACACTAAGCTTCCCTTGGACGCAGTTGCAAAAGTTCCCGCAGGTTAGATTTGCACAAGCGTTCAGTTCTTTGATTTTCCACTTTCATCCTGGTCCTATCCATTTTCTTCATTTCTTTTTTCGAGATGATTTTTGATTTCAACATTTTTAAAAGAACAGATAAACGCTTGGAAGAAAATGCAGCCAAAGAAAGAATTCTTTTTATAGCATTTAGCACGAATGAAGTTTGCATGACTTGCTGGCTTATCGTCGAGTATTATGATGCATTAAAAAAGTATTATGACGCATTTAGGTGATGCATCGCAAGGCGGAGAGCGGTGGTGCATCGGATGCGAAAGCACGGCTTCTAGAGGATATTGAAGATCAGGATGGCGAGGCAAGTTCTGATGGCTCCACAATTGTTGTGCGTTCTGTTACACCATTTGCGCAACGTCAAAGACCCATTCTTGATCGTGCAGCAAAATTAACATTGACAAATGTCCTTGAGGAGGAGGAGGATGAGGAAGAACTGGAAGATGCGCAGTTATCCGACTAAACGCGCATCACTTTTCACCCCGTGTATTGTAACATATTTGCCTCGCTGAACAGTAATTATTTGTTAGTCTTTTTTTTTTGCATTTTTCTCATGCCTGAGCTTATTTTTCGCCTAAGGGCGTAAATCAACGGTGAATTTGATAAGCCAAATTTTTGCTAAAAAACAGCATCACGCGAGCTGTGGGAAAATTTGAACGGGATTTCGTATTTTTTTGAATTTTTTGTTTCTTTTATAGAGCTTAATTGTCTCAGCCCAGAATTTGGGCGTTTACATTTCGCAGTTTTTGCTTCCCTTTTTTGCACTGCATTCCACATTCTCATTATCCTATATGCATATTTTGCCGTGTTTTACGAATTTTTTATACATTTCGTAACTTCTCCTCCACCACAATTGATCTGATGCCTCGTTTTGATCAGCTTATCATGATTTCTCCTGATTTTTTGCTTTTGCTGTACAATCTCATCAATCATATTTGTAAATTCTCTGTGTATTACGATGACTTGATTTTTTAAAAATATTCATTTATCCCTGTGAATTTCTCTGCTCTCGATTTGTACTTTTATTCTACCTTGATTCATTTCCCACTACTATTTTTTTTAAATAATTCATAATTTTGATTATTTTCCTCCGCCTTTTCACGTAGTTGTGCTATCGAACGGTTACCATGGAACAGCCATATGAGGAACTTGGCGACCTTAAAAGCAAATTTTTGTGTCAAAAATTTAATAAAATGCAAAAAGCGTGCATTTTTTGAAAAACCCCCCAAAAGAGGGGCTGAATGAAAATTTGTGATTCTCACCGTTCATTTGTTTCTGAGCAACCTTCAAAAGAGAGCCATCAATAAATTGACCAGTGAGTGGTTGCATTTGGCAGATAGCATAAATTCGCTTTACTTCTGAGTACCGTCGCTCCTCGATGTATGATTTCCGTGAATTTTGAGGTTCAACATCATCGCCTGAGCCTGTATATTTGGAGGTGTAGAATAATATTTGCTGTTAGCAAACGGGTATTTTTTTGCATCGTTTGCGGCTGGATTATCCGTTTTTTATGCGTTTTTTGCAGCTATGCAATGCAGAAAACGCACATTGACGAGAGCTTGTCTATGTGTGTGTGTGTGTGTGTCTGTGTGTTCGTCTGTACCGATTTTTCATCTCGAGGCCGGCAAAAGCCACAGGGCTTAAACTTTGGGGACATAATCTACATGCACGTACGAGCCCCCATCCCCAGAATGGCGGTCTTACCCCCGTGGTACTCGCGTAAGAGCCCGCCAAAATTTTTTTAGGGTAAGTTGATAACTCGCGAACCAGGAAAGCTAGAAAGCTGGAATTTTAAGGGAATGTTCCCCATCCAGGTAGGTACTAATGAGCCGAAACCCAACCCCCGGATAAGCGTGGTATGTGCGTATGGCTCGCCAAAATTTTCCCGCGTAAATTCATAACTCGGGGATCTGAGTTGCTGGGAAGCTGAAATTTTAAGAGGGTGTTTCCTGCCAGTTTTGGTGGCCAGTCTTAATTTGTTTAGCTAGAAGGATTTGCCCAAAAAGCCAATGCCGGTAGCGACAAAAACTGCGGGGAACTATGCAAAAAACGCATCTTCGCACGGACAGCCCGTGCGTTGGTCAATTATTTTTTCTTTTTTTAATTGCCCTTTTTTTTTTTAATGTAGTAAATCGTTTCTTTTTTTAAAGTGCGAATTCTTACGGAGGTTTACTCCCTCAAATTCCTATTTTGCACTTATTAACATCGTATTAGCCTCGATCATTAGGCGTACCCATTAGGCATTTATCAGATTTGAATCGACTGTACATGGGTTATGATGTGAAACGCATTATCCTTCGAAGTTTCAGTGGGGGGACGTGTTTCGGCTTGCTGCCTTGTATACTTCGGTGTGTTATTCAAGGAATGCAATTTTTGTTGCGTGGATTCTGAGGAGGGGAAATTCTGTACCTTGTTATTTGTTCTGGAAATTTGCCCACTAAGCGAGATTAGGAATATACACAAATACTCGGCTACAACGCAAATATTTCAAATTCAGCCCCAAGCTATGTGTGGTACTCACGCAAGAGCGTAAGGAAGTTTGTGCAGGGAAGTTTTAATCCGAGAACCAGAAAAGCTAGAAAGAGGCTCCCTTAACACGGCACAAGGCATTCCGGGGAAAAATCGGTGCTTTTCGGGTTTCCCGGGTCCGCCACTGGTGCTTCCTGTCTATGGCTGAATCCGCTGGTGTCCAGGATGAAAGTGTTTGCTTGGGATAGTACAAGGGTGGGATGGGTTTTTGCGCTGCAGCTTTGGTAAAGA